TGGAAATTTCTCTGGACTGTGAGAGGGAGATACTGGCTTGTGTGGGGCTCTCCAGGTTTGGGCCTTAGCCGACTTTTCGAGACTTCTCTCCACTGGTGCAAAGCCAAGAACTTTCACCATTCTGTTTGCCATGATGGCTCATGTGCTGCCTGCATACTGAATTGTTCCTTAAAGAAGAGCCCTATGTCATTTAAATCTCAGCATGGCCAGAGCTCGCAGAGTGTCTGCCACCCAGGAGCCATGCAGTGAGTGGGTGTTTGCTCAGCTGAAAAGTGAGTGAGTGAGCCCTCTCCCTCAGGTAAACTTGTCTCCTAGATACCTCTCTGGGGCTCAGCTTCTGTCCCTCTTCTGCCCTTTGCTCCAGGATCCCTTGTCTGGGTGCCCCTTCCCCCTCTCGCCTGCACCAAATTCTTAATTCAGTCTTTAAGACTAAAATCCAATGGCCTGTTTCCTGTCAACCTTACCCTGACAGGCCTGGTAGCAGGGGCCCTTGCTCTGGCCTTCACGCGCATGGTTTTTCAAGTCGCCCACACAACCACTCAACCACTCAGTGCTTTACCTGCATTCCCTTCTACTCTCATTACCTGCATGTCTTATTTGCCTGATGTGAAGACCAATAACCATGGCTAAGGTCTTTTTTCTTTCACTGCTTATTCCAATCTCATATGTAGTATGTGTTCAGTAAACATTGAGGGAATCGATGAATGGATATTTGCTCCCTTGATACCACAATCAGATTAGCCTCAGGAAGAAGGAGGTCATATAATAGGAAAATGAGAGTAAGGCATTTTTTCTCAAATGTTTCAAACATCGGAGCTGCGTGTAGTGGTGCACACCTGTTATCCCAGTACTCGGGAGGCTGAGGCAGGAGGATTGCAAATTTGACCCCAACCCGAGCAACCTACCAATTTAGCAAGGCCCTGTCTCAAAAAAAGAAAAACAGTTTTTAAAAAGAGCTGAAGTGGGCCGGGGATTTAGCTCAGTGGTTTCGCCGCCTGCTGCGCAAGCGCAGGGACCCGAGTTCGATCCCCGGTACCAAAAAAAACTGAAACAAAAGTTGAGCCCTCAAGACCAGCATTTAAATGATGCTGGTCAGTATTTTCATATAGGGAGCCAGAGTCAAAGGACCAAGGGCCGAAATCCAGAGCTGTTCTTAGTTGCATGGGCTATCTCTTTTTTTTGTTGTATGGGGGGGCAGTACTGAGAATTAAACCCAGGGCCTCACGCTTGCCAGGCAGGTGCTGCACCACTGAGCTACATCCCCGCCCACATCAGCTGTCTTTGAAAGGATGAATTGGGCAGAGACCTCACTCAGAGGCAGAGACGTCACTCAGAGAGAGCCCTGGCCTAGCATTCGGGAGGCTCTAGGTTCCATCCTGAACACAGCAACCAAAAAGAGGAGAAGGAGGAGAGGAAGGAAGGAGGGAAGGGAGGGAGGGAGGGTTATGAAGGGTTTTACTGACAAATTTAAATTGTGACTGGTGGGCTGTGGTATAGCCCAGTGGTAGAACGCTTACTAAACACATGTGTGGCCCTAGGTTTGATCCCTCGTACTATAAAAACAACCAAACAAATAAATAATGATTGACCACAGAAAATACTGTTGCTGCACACATGGTACTGAAATGTGGCACCCAGGGTCTCCCACACAGGACTCTTCAGAGTCCTCTCAGCCTGAGATCCTTTTCCAGGCCATGTCGCCTCTTGGGACAGCCTCGTCATTGACTGGTTGACAGCAGGCTCTGTCAAGGCTGCCCCATCTCCACTGACTCCACTTGACATCCACTTGACTCCAATCCAAGGCCCATCTCAGCTTTGGAGAGCTCAGCGGGGCTAGTTAAGGCCTTTCTAAAACTAATAGTCCAAATTCTCCCTCCCTGATCCTGCTGCCTTCCCTTTGCTTCCCTGGGTGTGGGGTTCAGGACTGCTCACTAATAGATAGGTTGTTAGTGCACTTCTCTGTCCCAGAGCTGTTTTGCTCAAACCCTTTTTGTTTTTACCTTGCTTTTCTTTAAGAATAGTTAAACATGTACATGCAGCAAGAGGTTAAAACCCTGCACACCACTTTCCCAGGGCTGCATCCCGAAAGGGATCACTGTCACTCTTGCTGATACATCCTTCTAGGAATGTACAAGAAATCTACAACTATGGACACAGATGTGTCACTTCCTTGCATAAGTGAGAGTATAACATGTTTCATTTAAATATATATCTTTTCATATCACTACAGATACATGCATCTCCATAATAATTTTCTATTATTCCACTGTACAGATACACCACAATTCTTTTAACAATATATCACTACATAACTATATAGGTAGTGTTTTGTTTTTCCCTTTTACAAATAATATTCAAGGAACATCCTCAGATATTATCTTTGTCCACTGCACAGAATACCTATAGGATAAATTTGTAGAAGTAGAATTCCTAGATCAAATGCTGTGAGAATTTTAAGTGTTTTTAAGAATTGTCAAATCATTTGCCAAAAAAGCAATACCAATTTAAACTTCAAAAATTCCCCAAATTGATGCAAGACAACGCCCCTTTCTTTGCTACCCTCCCTTCCACTGGAATCTTTGCCAACAATGGGTAGAAAGTACTACTTGCAGAGATCCTGCAAACCCAAGTTGCCTTTGGGTAGGTTTTTTAAAGATTTGGGTGAATGGATTTAAAACTCTCTTCTCCTCAACCCTTGCAACCTCCTACAGAGACAGAGCCCATGCTAGAATGTGGGGCTGGCCATTCAATTTCTATTTCCACCCATCTTGCCCCCTTGGCCGGCCACCATTGCATGATACTTAGTTGCTTTTCCTCGTTACTGAGACAAAATACCAGACACCCAAAGTTAAAGGAGGAAAGGTTTATTTAGCTCGCGGTTTGTGGAGGCTTTAGTCCATAATCGGCTGGCTCCAAGACAGGGCGGGATGGCAGAGGAGAAACAGTCCATGGCAGAGCAAAAGGTAGCAAAGCAACAAGGGAAAACCACAGCTTATTCTATACCTTATATCTTATCCAGGCTACTCAGGGCGGGCAGCACTCACACCCTTAATCCTAGTGCCCTTGACCCTAGCACTGCAACATGAATCAATCACACACTCTAGATCCAGCCACCTCTGAAAAGCCCCACCTATGACTGCATGAGGCTTTGTGGGGACATCTAGACACACCCATAACAGTGCTCAAGCCAAACAACTATACATGGCATCCATGGAACCTCACTGTTTTACACTGAATTTCTTTCATTACAAACCAGTTTTAGTATCCTTTAGTACTTTATTAGCCTTTTTTTCTTTATGGAGAGCTGTTCTGCGGAGTTCAAAACCCATTGAGGTGATATTTTCATGATACCCCTGGCATATCCCAGGGATAGACCATAATGTCCTTTGATACTTTACTTACTATACTGAAATCAGTTGCCTTTTTTTTAAGAGAGGAGGTCTTACTTGTTGCCTAGGCTGCTCTCAAACTCCTGGCTCAAGTAATCCTCCTGCCGTGGCCTCCTAAGTACTGGGACTTCAGGAGCACGCCAGCACACCCTGCTATCTGTCTTTTATACTGTGGTTCCAAGTAACATTTAATAGAGAAAGAAAGTTTCCACTGTTTTTCCAAAAAGTGGAAATTTCTCTGGACTGTGAGAGGGAGATACTGGCTTGTGTGGGGCTCTCCAGGTTTGGGCCTTAGCCGACTTTTCGAGACTTCTCTCCACTGGTGCAAAGCCAAGAACTTTCACCATTCTGTTTGCCATGATGGCTCATGTGCTGCCTGCATACTGAATTGTTCCTTAAAGAAGAGCCCTATGTCATTTAAATCTCAGCATGGCCAGAGCTCGCAGAGTGTCTGCCACCCAGGAGCCATGCAGTGAGTGGGTGTTTGCTCAGCTGAAAAGTGAGTGAGTGAGCCCTCTCCCTCAGGTAAACTTGTCTCCTAGATACCTCTCTGGGGCTCAGCTTCTGTCCCTCTTCTGCCCTTTGCTCCAGGATCCCTTGTCTGGGTGCCCCTTCCCCCTCTCGCCTGCACCAAATTCTTAATTCAGTCTTTAAGACTAAAATCCAATGGCCTGTTTCCTGTCAACCTTACCCTGACAGGCCTGGTAGCAGGGGCCCTTGCTCTGGCCTTCACGCGCATGGTTTTTCAAGTCGCCCACACAACCACTCAACCACTCAGTGCTTTACCTGCATTCCCTTCTACTCTCATTACCTGCATGTCTTATTTGCCTGATGTGAAGACCAATAACCATGGCTAAGGTCTTTTTTCTTTCACTGCTTATTCCAATCTCATATGTAGTATGTGTTCAGTAAACATTGAGGGAATCGATGAATGGATATTTGCTCCCTTGATACCACAATCAGATTAGCCTCAGGAAGAAGGAGGTCATATAATAGGAAAATGAGAGTAAGGCATTTTTTCTCAAATGTTTCAAACATCGGAGCTGCGTGTAGTGGTGCACACCTGTTATCCCAGTACTCGGGAGGCTGAGGCAGGAGGATTGCAAATTTGACCCCAACCCGAGCAACCTACCAATTTAGCAAGGCCCTGTCTCAAAAAAAGAAAAACAGTTTTTAAAAAGAGCTGAAGTGGGCCGGGGATTTAGCTCAGTGGTTTCGCCGCCTGCTGCGCAAGC